CTGGCACAAGAAGAACTAATTGATTGGCCAGAGCTGTTTGTGGTTCAGGGTACAGGAAATTATCAAGGCCTGTGAGGTGGGACTCTTTGGATTGGCATGTGTGATAGAGTAGGAAACCCCAAGTAAGCACAAGCCAAGAAGAATAACTAACACACATGACAACCAGTAATTCCTCTTTTCAATTTGCTACATAAGTTTAATTTTTAGGGCACTCTGTTTTCTTATTTATTTTAAATTACAGACTTGCAGCTACAAACATTAAGAGTGAAACATATTACGTCTTTCACCAGAGAAAGAAGGGTTGATTTATTGTATCAATTATTGATTTTACTCTCCATATTCCTTTCCTCCATACATAGCCTATAGCTAGATTTAAAATATTTATTTTGCCCTCTTTGGCCTTCTCCCTCATGCACCATGCCCACCATGGTTGTGTGGAAATACCCTAAGCTCCTATATCAGGTCTTGGATGTTAGATTTCCTTCCCGTCACATGGTACTATGTATGAATGAAATGAATTCTGACAGTAATCATAGGAGTGGAAGGGAGCCTAAGAAATTATCCAGTCCAGCTGAGAGAGGGGCTATAAACAGAGAAAATTGGCCACTTAAAATTTGGCAGTATTAATTTTCTTTTTATTTCACTTCCCATTAAATAAACACTTAAAGTCATGCATTCTGTTAATTATCCCTTGTTTAAGTATTCTTGTTCCATAACATTTTAAAATATCTATATTTGTTAATAACTTGGGTGCCACAGTGGCACACGTCCAAACAAACGCACATGACCTCCATATTGGTGCACAAGACAAAACTCACTCCGCTCTTGGATGGAAAATCTTAGAGGAAAAGCTGGCTGTCAGCTGCACAGCTCTGCGGGCTGGCTACCCCCGGCCTTGCCCCTGCCACCTGAGGCCCCACCCCTTCTGAGAGCATGAAGCCAGGCCCCCAGCTACCTTGCCCAGCGGCCCACAGGGGCTGTCAGCTCCCTTCTGAGGATTATAGGGGACACCTATGTACCCAAGGTAGACAGATACATCAGCAACTTGCTGGGAGGTGAAGGAACACATCGCACTTTTATAAAATAGGGTAGCCCTTGCTGTTGTCTTTCAATGGTAAATCATTGCGAGAAGAGCAACTCAAAACTGCAATTCCCCTACACTCTTTTAAATGCCTCCACGATTGTTAAATTTGTTTACAAAAATACAATGTGGATACTTTGCACAGCACTTTTCTGCCCAGAAGAACTTTGTCAGCAACAAATGCATGGGTTTATAATGGAAACACCGCCAATGCCTAAATAACAGCAATGCTGTAATTGAAAGCAAGACTCAGCTAGTGAGCACACTAGGCTTGAGTCAGCAAAGTGCCAAAGGAAGGGCTTATCTTTAAGCAGAGGGGAGATCCCAACTGTCTTGCAAGATTTATTGTGCTAATACCCTAAACGTGCATATTAATTTTTGGACCATGTCTCTCATTTAAATGGTTGGTTGCAGATAATTGCTCTCTGTGATGTTGTATCTGCATTACCCTGATTCCATGTTCTAGCTCAGTGGTCCCCAATCTTTTGGGGCTGTCAGGCGCCTGGGGGCAGGGCTGCGCATGCACTGGGCGCCCAAGGCGCAAGAATGGCTCGGGCCACCCCTGGTCACTAGGCGGGTGCACATAAATGTCCCAGTGGGCACCATGGTGTCCGTGGGCACTGCGTTGGGGACCACTGTTCTAGCTAATGTATCTATCTTCTTACAATGATCACCTAGCTGCCTGACCTGGATCTGAAATTAGCTCTGCACTCCTCATGCAAAACTTGTTGAGAGTATAAGGGTTAAAGCGCATCAGTTACACAGATTCTAAAATCACAACCAGAACTGGTAAAACAGCCGGAATCACAAAATCAGCGGCAAGTTACTTGTATCTGTGGTACCATAACTGCTTCTGCTTTCTCATCCGCATCAGATGGCACCACAACCATCTGCAGGCCTGTCTCAGAATTAAGTGAATCTAATTCTGGGGAAGTTTCATGGCTTGGACCTTTGGGCCAAATTCATCCCTGATGTAACTCCACTGATGTCAAGGGCATTACACTGTCGTTTGTCATGTGCTGTAATAACGCCTGTTATGCTCCAGCCATTTGGCAACTCTTCTTTTACTAGTTAGGTGAGGCAATGAAGTAGCATCTCCATTGGACAGGACACTAAGACTGGATTCGGGAAGCTGTATCTATGCCTGGTTCTGTTACTGACGGCCTGTGTGACCTTGGGCCAGACACTTTATCTTTGTTCACTCTCCTACCTTTGTCTGGCTTGTCCACATACATGATAAAACTCTTTGGGGGCAGGGATTGTCTCTTGCTGTGTGTTCATATAGTGCTTAGCAGAACAGGGCCCCATATCAGTTGAGGCTTCTAGTGGCTACTGTCATACAAATGAATAAATATAATAATAGTAGATAAATACCTTTGTCCTTCATATTGTAAATATTCCTTCAAGCCAGTCATTGTTCTTTTCAGGCCAGTGACCACTGCTGTGATGACTGTAGTAAGGTGGAATCCTTCATAGCGTTTAATCAACAGCAGTGCACAGTCATCCTATGGAACTCCTTGCCAGAGGATGTTGTGAAGACCAGGACTTTAACAAGGTTCAAAAAAGAGCTAGATAAATTCATGAATAAATTCATGGTCCATCAATACTTATTAGCAAGGATGGGTAGGAATGGTGTTCCTAGCTTCTGACAAACGGACAGGAGTGACAGAGAGGGATTGCTTGATGATTACATGTTTTGATCATTGTCTCGGTGGTATCTGGCATTGGGCATTGTCGGAAGACAGGACATTGGGCTAGATGGACCTTTGGTCGTTCTCTTCCGAAAAAAGGTTCTTCCGAAAGAAGCCTGCAGTCTAGACGTAGCCAGAGAAGCAGCGAAGTGACAGGAGCTGATGCTGGGGGCAGCCAGCTTAAAAGCCAGTTCCCCCAAGCACTGTCTCTGGGGTGTCTCCTTCCCCCTCTCCCCCGCTGTCTCTATCAGTCCCGGCTCATGCTGATCGCTGCACCTCTGCATTTTAAATGTAGTAAAAGCCCAAGCCACAGCGAGGGTGGCTCCAGAGCTAGGATTGCTCATTCAAATTGTATCAACTATACAGTTAGCCAGATAGTCATGTTTTAACATCCTGAGTACAACTCCCTCCTGTATCTGACCAATGAGGTACAGGATCACCATTTAAAGTAATTAAAAAGAAAAGGAAGGAAACCTCACAGAAAACAGGTTTGTTATAACATTGAGGCAGCTTTGTATATAACATAGATCTGTAGCTACACCTCACCTTCCTTTTTGCACACAGTGTGAATTCCTTCATAACATTCTAAAACAATTCTACCCTCTTCATAAAAATATCAACATCCTGTTCCCATCCATAATAAATACATCATAGTAAAAGCATGTTGCAATTTCAATGGTCAAACGACTGGTCATCGTCAGCAAAGTGTCCTGCAGACAGCATCTATCTTTAGTTCCAGCATATTTGTAAAGTCATGAAATACCTTCGGTTCTGCTCAGAAAAGACAATATTTCTATTTATTATTTCACATATATAACACTTACTTACACAACATATTGGGTTGACGTCCTGGAGCCAACTCGATCATAGTGAGAAATACAAAGTCAATTGTAACATGTGTTAGAAGATTTGGAATTAAAATACTCCAGCTCTGAACTTCACATTTTAGAATGCTAGAAAAAGGATGCAACAGATTGACTTTAAAAATGGTGTCCCCTGCCAATTCTTTTAAAATAAAATGAAGCCACCTTATGCAATCCAAGCTGTAGTTTTTACATACAAACATGAATGTGAGGGTAGAATTTGGGACACTGGGTTGAAAAGTTGAGTACTGATACTGATTTCAACATAAACAGAAGCACGTATTCCTTGATATTGGGCTATTTGAGCAAGCCAGACAGAGGGATGTCTATGCTATGCAGCTTTTAACAATAGGACTGTGTTGACAAAACCCTGTTGCTAAAAGTCCAGTGTGTGTGAACACTGTTTGTCAGCACTATGGCCAATAAAATACTTCCAACCGCAATGAGTGGGTTTCACTTTGCCAGTGGGAAAGTGCTGTTGATGAGAAAATAGCGTTCATATGTGCACTTGCTGTGGCAAAACTTTGTCATTCACGGTACAGGGGGAGGCTAAGCCTCCGTGAACAATAAAAGTTTTGTTGAACCAGTGGAAGTGTAGCTAGAGCCTTAGAATTCAGAAGTGCCTAACTCCCAGCTCTGCACTCAATATGCTAGACCAAACACCCTTCTAATGATAAGAAACTAGCATGTTATTAAAGACATGGAAGTTCTCGTAATGCCATAAAATGACTCACTGTATGTTTTAAAGTTTTAAACTAGAGCAGTGATGGGCAACTAGGCTAATGAATTGGCTTTGTGAGGGGTCCTCCCTCATTTCCATGAGATGCAAGATTGTGTCCAAGATTGTTGTAATCAAGATGGTCTCCTGGGATAAGCTACTTTTGCTAATTGCGCTTGTGTACTTAGCATTTGCGGGGTGTGCCAGTTGAACAATAGCAGTACTTTGAGTGGATACAGAGGGAGCACACGGCTCTCACAATCGATATTGTATGCAATCAGCACGCCTCTCACTTCACTGGCCCTTATATTATACGTGTGTAACTTTAGTAATAGTAGCAGGAAAAAACCTTATGTGGACGGAACCAGCAGAATCTGGCAACTCTATGTATGGGTAACAGTAAACAAAATGTCTCATAGAATCCCAATGAACCAGAGTGGCCCATGAAGTGCAGCTTGCCCATCACTGAACTAGAGTGAAAGAACTGTGTTTTGTACATAAGCAATATTAGAGTGCATTTAAACACAGCACACAATATAAGACTCTTAATACCACTGCAGATTTTTTTCTTCATTAACAGCCAGTATTTGGTTTTGCATATGTATGCAATTTTCCAGCTCAATAAAAAGGCACAGTAAGCACTGTAATACAGCTCATCTTTTATTGTTATAGACAAAAAGGAATACATATAACATAATGGCACCAACCATCACAGCTGTGAACTTGCAGTGAATTCTATCTAGGAAACATCAACTCATTGTTCGCTCTGCTTCTAGCTCATGGTATGCTGCTGCATATGTGAAAATTCAAATGCTATCGATCACTTTATAAATGTGACATATGACAGACCGAACAATATCATTTGTTTATAGGACTTTTCAGACTCTTAAAGTTGTTGTGACAGTAATAAGCATGCAAAATATTGATACAAAGCCATAGATACTATATCCTCCCTCTTCCTTCTCCCTCCCTCCCCCCCCCAAAAAAATAGTGAGGCTGTGATAGAAAATCCACAGGTTCAATGGTGCATACTGGGTGAAATTTATCCTCTGTGCAGGGTTCAGCACAAAGCCATTTACGTGGCAAGTGGGAGTTAAGTGGCACATTGACCTTGTGCTCTGTCTCTGCACGTGTGGGTTTCTCCCTCATGTGTCCTGCCTGTCAAAAAACATGAGATCTGCAATAGAGATCAGCAGCTACCCACTAGCCATGGTAAAGTACTTCAGAGCATGGTATATTGAGACTAGGAATCGTTTTCTATTTTATAACCTGGTCCCGTGGCCTGATTTCATTGGGAGGATCTGTACCTGAGGACTACATAGGAGAACTCAGTAAATACTGCGCCCCTCCCTCCCACCTAGGGACCTGCACAAGTGGCTTCTCCAGAACACTGCAAGATGCAAAGCCTGGTTCACACCTGTAATGGAGAACGAGAAGAGGTTTAAGCTTTCCTTTCCCTAGAGACTATGGAGTCTAATTCTAAAATCTTTTCTAGGCAAAACTCCTAGGGAAGTCACAGGGTGAAAATCATCTCAGCAGAAAACCAGGTCAAGCTTTATGCATTTACATTTCATCTGGGCCCCATAGCCTACGGAGGATTTAAACAGTGCACAAGATCTACAGCTGGCTCTCCCCCCTGGGCTGAACATCATCTAAACCAACCAAGGACCGCGGCATCAGGCCCAGGAGAGCTGCAGCACTGATCCTCCACCACTGACAGTGAATTCAGAGGCGATGAATCATTTCTGTTTTCGGGCTGTTGTACGTGACAGCTTCTGGAGATGTTCAACAGGATGTTGGTGTTTGGTGGCAGGATTTCAGATGAGTCAGGTGTATCACCCTGGAAATTGTTTACAGGATACCTCCTTCCAGCTGTCAGGACATAAGCCTCAGAGTGGTTTTATAATTACAGCCCTACACATGGTGTCCCAGTAATGCCTCATCCTCCAGTCTTGCAAATCATTTAGCAATTTGGGCACCCTTTGTAATCTAAGGGACTCTGATAACCCCAAAATGAATCTGGGCTTTCTTCTCCCCTCTGAGTTTGCATGTAATTTATACATACGTTATCATGATAATAAATGTTTTGCAGCTAATTGTTTCATTAAGGAAAAAAAGATAGAATCCCCACCATTCTTGAGCAGCCCAGCAGTAACCTGTCAGTTACTTCTAAAAAAGTGCTACTGAATTCAATAAGAATTAAACAATAAGATTGAGTTGATGTTACGTTGAAAACCTGTATCATTTCACACAGAGAATGCTGTCATTTCTATAGAACTTGTAAACTAGCCTATAGCAGTCTATAGCTAGGACATAATTACCTAGTAAATCTACAGGAGGGTTTTAAAAACCCTGGAGAACATTCATTGTTATCTATAAGACTTTCCACGAGAGGTTTTAAAGAGTAACAGGGCCACCTACTGCAAGCTGCTTCATGTCTCCTGAGAGGTTCTCCTGAGTATTCTACTGACTGCAATTGGGAGCTGAAGACATTTAGCAGGATCACCAGGCAGGAAACAATCAACATCTCGCAGCAGACGGCCCCTTGGGTGAAATTCATGCTCATTCAGAAGTCTCACTCAGTCCCTGAAGTCCTATTTTGAGGAATTAAGTGAGGCACAGGCATTGAGTATGGCCTCTGCCCAATGGTGGCCCATCAATACAGGCAACCTAGGCGGTTGCCTAGGACACCAAGATAAACAGCCGTTGAGGGCTTTGGAGGCTGGGGCGCCGATCACGTATTTCGCCTATGGCGCCAGTTGCCAGCAGCTCGTCTAGGGCCGCTCCTGCCTCTGCCAAAATCATCAGAAGGTCATCTAGAATGGTATGACCCACTACATAGTTTGCTCAATAAAGGACACCCCTTCAGAAAATTTTGGCAGGTACATCCTGTTAAGCTGCCAGGCAGCATTCATGTGACTGATAGCATTGCTGATTACTTCCTCCTTTCTCCTGCCCATCCAGTAAACCCCTCCTCCTCCAGGCAACCCCTCCCCCCCAAGATCAGATCTATTATATGTCTCTGAAGAAGTTAGTGATGTGAGATACAAATAATTGTGTATAACATACTAGATACTGTTACAACTGGTGTACTGACATGATCAATAACTGCTTTGCAAACACTGCAAAGCAGTAAATGTTAACCATTATTTTCTACATAAATGACTTTTTGTGAATAACTCTTTAGCGGTGCATCATTGTAGAATAACTGCTTTTGTATGTGTCGGACCATATTTTGACAATGGCTACACTCATCATGAATCATCAGTAAAGTCAATAGGAACACCTTGGGGCCTCCTCCCCAGTTGGTATGAACTTGAGTGGAACTATGCTAAATTACATCTGCGGAAGACCTGGCCTGAACATCAGTGGAAAAAACTAGGACTTGAAATTTCAGAACAATGCAAATCTATTGTTATATCAATCCTACCAGTGCAGCTTTGGCACTCTCTCTTCTTTGACATTTCAGCATGTGTGACAAGAGATACGGCAATGATCAACTATGTCAAAGCAAAAAAGATCTAACTCAGCTGAATCAGTTCAGATAAAACATTGTTTTCCTTACAGTGTGTCATATGCTCACAACCTGTACCTAATAAATCTGTCCGTAGTTTATTCAATAGCATTTTTAAAATGAATAATGTCCATTGGCCGCTTCCCAGGGCTCATTTCAGTGCATTGCAGGAAAGCAATCACATAGGCCTCTCTTTTCTGCTCTCAGCAGGAGGGTTTCTGTCTGCAAAAGAACATTAAATCATGGAATTGAATATATCACTTTAAAGGAATACCATATATAATTGATTAGACCTAATCCCTCCGCACTGCTATAGTCAAGGTGCCTTCATGGTAATTATAGCTAGTCTACATGGTGACTTACCTGGCAAACTGATACATAATAAGCATGTTTGGAGCTAAGGAATACAAACTAAACTTTGTGGAAAATATTTGGCGTTTTCAATGTTTTCACTTTCACAGTTAACCTCAAAGGGATAGACTGTGGGAGATGAAGTGTCTTTCATACATGCCGGGCAAAAATCCACTCAGTTACACTCTTAATTGCTTCCACTTAACAGCAAGACATCAGCTATTGATGCACCCAGAGCTGTACAATTTAATAGTACCAGTAACTGTGCTAAGGGTTCAATTCTGCTTTCAGTTTCACGCATATAAATCCAGAATAATTGCATTGAATTTATTTGGGCTGACAATTTAACTCCCCTGCGCCACGTTTTCTGAATCTGGACACTGTCCAGTAGGACTGGACTGGAGCTTGTGGTCCTCTTATAATTTGAGAGTTAATTTATTGCCAGTTACACTACTGCCAAACCCAAGTGTTCAAAAATCATGAGTCAGGCTCTCTCCAAAACCCAGGAAACTAGCTCAAACCACAAGATTAACACAAACAAACAAGTTTATTTGACTTTTTGTTTTGGCACTTTTAAGGACCATGTTTAAAGATTTTCTCTGTACTCATAAGGGCTAGAGACCTACTTTAAAAAAAAATGAAAGCTGAAATTCTCACTCACCCCCATCATTACAGAAGCCAGGGCTTTCAGACTAAATTTCACATGATTTACAATAAAATCATGACCAACAATATGCACTAACTCAAAATAACATGGGGTGTGTCTAGATTACATCCCTCTTTTGACAGAGGGATGTAAATTAGGCACTTCGAAATTGCAAATGAAGCTGGGATTTGCATTTCCTGCACTTCATTTCCATAATCACATCATGACACTCTTTTGAAAAAGTGCTATTTCAAAATTTAAACCACAGTCTAGACATGGTTCTTTCGAATATAAAAGCTTTTTTCGAAAGATGCTATGAACCTCATTTTCTGAGGTTTACAGGATCTTTCAAAAAAGGCTTCTATTTTCGAAAGAATCGTGTCTGGACTGTGGTTTCAATTTCGAAATAGCGCTTTTTCAAAAGAGCGTCATGATGCGATTATGCAAATGAAACGCAAGATATTTAAATCCCCGCTTCATTTGCACTTTCTAAGTGCTTCATTTACATCCCTTTGCCGACAGAGGGATGTAATCTAGACGTAGCCTAAGACAATAGTGTCTGGATACATCACTTGTTACTGGAAATAACTAACCTTTTAGGGCAGGGGTGGGGAACCTCAGACAGTCCCCGGCTTGCCTGGACCCAGTCCCCAAGGCTCAGGGATCTCCCCACCCCAGCACTGTAAAGCCCGTGCTGATGCTCCAGCCCTCCTGTCACTCCATCACAGGGCTGGAACACTCAAAATCTACTAGCCTGCTCCCCCAAGCTCAGAGGGACAGACGCTGACTGATTTTTCTGTGCAGCCCCTGACTGATTTTTTTGTGGGTCAGCGGCCCCAACCCTAAAACAGTTCCCCACCCATTTGAGGCTAAACTGAATCCTAGATCAGGAAGGGTGAACTTCGTTCCGATGGAGAGAGCTGGCACACGGCTTACCCGATGGGTTAGGTTAAATCACAAAGGGTGTGTCTAAATTACATGGCTCTGTCGATGGAGCCACGTAGATTAGGCTGATCGGCAAAGGGAAATGAAGCGGCGATTTAAATAATCATTTAAATTTAAATGGCTGATCCGCTGAGCCGACAGACAGCTTATCAGCTGTTTGTCGGCTCAGCGCGCTAGTCTGGACACTCCCGCGCCGACCTGAAAGCCCTTTATTGACCTCCCCGTTATGCCTTGTAGGATGAGGTTTACTGGGGAGGTCGATAAAGGGCTTTCATGTTGGCAGGGGAGTGTCCAGACTACCCCAATCCGCCAACAAACAGCTGATCGGCAGAGCGGGGCAGCCATTTAAATTTAAATGAAGCTGCGATTATTTAAATCGCGGCTTCATTTTCCTTTGCTGAACAAACAAATCTACATGGCTCTGTCGACAGAGCCATGTAGTCTAGATGTACCCTTGTACCCTGGGCATTTTCAATAAGGTGTTCATTGATCTGAGTTAAGAGCCTGAATGAACTCACAGGACTTTTAACTAGCCAACTGTCCTTTGCCATGATGCTTACTTTGGCATTCGGTAGGCAGCTGTATCGTTCTCTTACACTACTCCTGTCTTGTTTCCACCGGTTGTCTTTTGTTTTAGAGCTTGTGAACTCTTATGTGCAGAAACTGTCTTTTTATTCTGTATTTGTACAATGCCTAGCACAACAGGATCTCCTAGGCACTGTGGTAACGTATCTCAGTATGCACTATGAACTCCAGTTCAGACATATTTTAGGGGGAAATTCACCTTTGTGCAGAGAATCAGCTCATGTTCCAGGCCTCCGCTAACTCTAACTGAAGCCCTGTTTTGTAGATTTAAACAGCATATTGGCTGTGCGCCAGCTTTCAGCACGAAGTAAATTACACCCTTCCTGAGTTGGGATTTGAGTGCTTTCCCTTCTTCTCCATGTTCCCCCAACCCATTTTTCTTTTAAAAGACAAAAGCTTTGCCTTTCACCATGACATTAGAACAGAAAACTTGCTCCTTATGCCTGTTCGCTTTCAATTATTGGCTTGATGCTGCCGCGTGTGTCATTGAACAATGCTCTTTGGAGGATGCAAAGCTGTGTGAGGCGAATGTTCTTGTCATAAGCCTGGCAGACAACAGAAGATGATCTTTGTACCACAGCAGCTCCCTGGATTGGAATACTCATGTAATGCCAACACACTGATATTCCCACCACACGCTTCCTAAGTGAGTCTCATGATCCTCATGCAAGCTGTGAGGGCTGATCTGGGAGTATTCAATGGCTACCGCATGCAAAAGGACCCCCAAAAATGGCAACACGGGTCCCAGGAGCCCCCTAAAAGAATGCTTCTCTGCAGGCATCGCTTGTCAAAGGTATTCTGACTATTTAGAATACATGAATGACATGAATTTGGTGTAAAACATCACCAAAAAATGAGCTGTCATTGTAGGCCAAACGTGGCTTTGAATAAGGATAACTGAGGATGTAATTTTCATAGGTCATATGGCCAGAGGTGACACTTGGATCATCTGATCTTGTTTCCTGTAAAATCACCAGACCTAGTTACCTCCTGTGTTGATCCCACTAACTTGTATATGGCTAAAGCACATCTTCCAGAAAGGCAGTTGGTCTTCACCTGAAGATTTCAAGAAACAGCAAACCCACCAGTTCCCTTAGTCATTTGCTCCAATAGTTAGTCGCCATTTGACTCCTATCATGCAAGATGGAATTAAAGGAATGTGAAAAGGACCACAAAAAGGCATATAACCCAGCCCCCTGCACTGAAGCAGGACCAGGTCCCTGACAGGTGTTTCTCCATCCTGTTCTTAGAAACGTCCAGTGGTAGAGATTCCACAGCCTCCGTTGGTAACCTATTTCTGTACTGAACTTATTGTTAGAAAGAATACCAAATCCAAATCTCCCTTGTGGCAGATTACTTCTTGTGTCTTCCCTTTAGGGGACACGGAGAACACTGGTCACTTATGGTTTAAAGGACACAGTCTAAACTAAACTCACTAGTAGGGACATCCTGTCGAGAAGGATTTCAAACAGTATTTTTAGATCTGCCTCACTTAGAGGGACAGATCCTGACACAGTGTAACTCAAAGGCCAACACTCTCATTAAATTCAAAATGGTGAAAGATCCAGCAAAAGAAGAGGGTCCGTAAGACACATTCACATCTTCAACAGCCTTTCTGCTTTCCTGGAAATAGTGTTATCCTCCTTTCTCACTGCACAGAGAGGAGTCAAACAGCACTGCTGAAAGTCTCATTGTACACTGTAAAGCATGAGCTCTATCAACTCTACCCTGTTGAGATTTATCTTTTAAAAACTCACAGGGATCTGTCAGTTGTAACATAGATAATGCTTTGTTATCTCTTCCAATTCTTCCCCAGTAGGCCCCATCTGCATTAAGGAAATTCGCACTGGTGTCACTGCATCTTTGCAGTGGAAACCCCTAATGCAGGTATACTGCATCAGCACAAAGCTGGGCTTACACCAGTGCAGCCTCATCTGAAGTAAAACAGTATCAGCCACACCTCCCCAAGAGAAGGCCCTCTGGCATAAGCCTCATCGCATCCCCCTGCAGTAGGGATTAGCACTGGAATACCCACATTGCTTGTCTTGCCACTCACTAGTTAAGTATTATTATTTTAGTGCCTATATCAAAGCAAAGCTCTTTTGAAAACATTGCCCTTAATGTACAGAGAAGCTGGACATGATCAGTTTGCTCCTGATAATCAATGGAAACTGAAGGCACGCAGGTCTATAACCAGTACCTGCCAGTACTGGGCCTCCTTTCACTGCCCAAGGTCACAGAGAGCAGTGGCAGAGCAAGGCAATGGTCATGTTTGACAAGCACTGGCGATATACCGTCCTTCAGACTAACCAGCTGTGAATGATGATTTCAGCAGAACACGACCTTAAAGAGACAGGTGACTATAACCTCCAAAGGCACTGCAGTGATCAAAAGCACTGAATAGCTTTGGACGGGGGAAGCTGTTTAAAACTGTCAGCTTGTCAGTGGCTATTGAGCACACAGGCAGAGAGAAGAAATTTCAGATAATGCACACAGAGAGATGCTTTATTAAATAATCATGATTTTTCCCTTCTGACAGAGCGTAGTGCATTTTAAATCCATAAATTCCATCCTGTTCAGATTGTCCATTCACGCGTCTGAATTAATACCCATAGTCGTGGTTAACAATAGTAAATTGATCACACATTGATTTTCTGTACAGCAGGGCTCTCTATTCGGGTTCTGCAAGAACTTAAGTCACACCCAATTCCCTTGCATCGATCTCTAGGTTTACGTTTTGAATAGCCTCATTTTCTTTTTGTTGCTTGCATCATGGAGCCATTTATAATGAGAAGATAAATAAATCATAGTGTTTGTGATAAGTAATAGCCAATGTGGATTTGAAAACAAATCATATCAGACTAACCTAATTTCTTCTTTAAAAGCTTCTTAGATTAGCAGATAGGGGAAAGCTGCAGACATGATATATGTTAATTTTAATAAGGCTTTAGACACAATTCCAGAGGACATTCTCAAACAACAGCCTAAGGAAATGAGATCTAGACGAAGTTATTATAAGGGTGGTGTAAAACTGGTTGAAAGGCCATACACAAAGAATTGTTATCAATATTTTCATTAATAACTTGGATAACGGAGTGGCCAGTATGCTTATCAAATCTGTAAATGACACAGAGCTGTTAGGGGTTACTAGTGCTTTGATGGACAGAATTAGAATTCAAACAACCTTGCCAAATTGGTCTAAAATCAACAAGATGAAATTCAGTAAAGAGAAGTGCAAAGTATTACACGTAAGAAGGAAAATTTAATGGCACAACTACATAATGGGAAGTAATTAGCTAGGTGGTAATTCTGCTGAAAAGAATCTGAGGATTATAGTGGCTCGCAAATTGAATATGAGCCAACAGTGTATGGCAGATACACATTCTGGAGTGCGTTAACATGAGTCTGTATGTAACATATGGGAGGTACTTGTCTCCCACTACTTGGCATTGGTGACACCTCAGTTGGAGCACTGTGTCCAATTCTGGGCATCACATCTTTTAAAAAAAAGGTAAACAAATTGTGGTGAGTTGAGAGGAGAGCAACAGAACAGTTTAAAAAACCAGACCTTTGGGGAAAATTTAAAAAATCCTCACTTAGACAACCACACTCAGGAACAGTCTAGAGCAGGGTGGCCAAGACATGGTTTGCAAGCTGCATGTGTCTCTTTTACAGGTGAAAGTGTGGCTCGCAGAGCCCTCCAATCCTTCCCATTCTCCGCCCACCAGACAGAAAGGGTTCTGCCCTGCAGCAGAGCAAGGAAGCCAGGAGCCTCTGCCAGAGATGACTGTTGCCTGCTGAGAGTTGGGGGACACAATGCAAAAGTTTGCTCCCCCAATAGTTGGAAGTCATGCCCTGCCAGGCACGACTCCCTCTTATCCTCAGTGGCCTCCCTGCAGCTTCCAGGTGTTAGCTCCACATGGAGAGACAAAGGCAAAGAGCTGAGAGCTGCAGGGAGGAGCTGCCACTTTTGTTCTGTGAGAAGAGGCAGAAGCAAAAGCGGCGAATCTCCCTGTAGCTGCTTGCTGCCGCGGCTCCCAGCTTGCTAGCTCCACCCACTGCTGTACATGGAGGGGTCCCAGTGGTGCCATGTGACCAAGCCCGGGCAGCAAACTTTAATAAATATGTGCGGGCTGGGCCACCTTACCTCACGTGCCTCACCCATGTATCACCCGTGGGAGGGAAGTCTTGGGAGTTCCAATCCCATGCACCATTTCTGTGGGGGTGCAGGGCATCAGCAGGAGTGAAGCTGACACCTCGGGCCAAGAGGGACACCCTAGCTCTCTGTCGGATGCAGCTCAGAGTATGTTTGGCCACCCTTGCTGAAGGAATACTTCATCCTGCCTCAGCAGAGGGTCAAGGTCCCTTGCAGTGCTACATTTCTATGATTATGATGTGAAAGGTAAGTCCCCTTCATGCTCTTCTCATCTCCTCTATCTCTCTTCATCTCCTCCTCACTCTGTGAGCTCGATGCAGGAACCAGTTGCTGTAATTCTCTAGCCTGTATAATCAGGCTAGATGGTCATAATGGTCCCTTCCGGCCGTAAAACCTACTAATCTCTGCTTGTGCCCAATACATTTGCCTAGTACAGTCCTATTTATGGAAATGAGAATGAGTTCAGCAAATGATGCTATGTCCGCTCTATGCTGTCAAGGCTAGTTGGTACATCAAGGCCAAGTATCACTTCTAAGGTAACACCTACCCGTGTGTCTAGATTGTACGCGGTCTTCTTTAAATCCTGCAGGGCCCTCTGCATGAATTCAAACGCATGGCAGTCAACACAGGGACGACCTGGAAAAGGGTGCAGTAGAAAGAAGTTGTCACTGAAATGGCTCAGAATTGATATCATGGCTCTTCCAAGAGAATCTTGTATTTTCCTGAAAATTACATTTACCAAAGTGAATGCACCTGGGTTGCACATGTTAGTGCCCCAACTGCATGCACAGGATGCAGCTGCTCATGCACAAAAGCATACGCCTGTATGTACAAATCTCCATTTCACAGGTCATGCCAAAGTACAGCATGTTTTTACCCACTTGCTTTTTGAACCCAGAACCATGTTGTTGAAGAACCTGATCCTGGAATGTGCTGAGTGCTTTTAACTCCCATTTACTTCCCAGGAGTGAAGGCGCTCAGCCCCTCACAGAAAGGGGTCATCTCCCTGCAGGACAAGATGCTAGGGAGATATTTTAAGTGATTCCAGAATTGATACACAACAGTTATTTGTTCAGAAGCCCCCATGCATGTCATGGCAAGAGAGAATCCTTTCCCTCGGGACCATGTTTTCTTTCAGCTAGGAATACAATGCACCTATTGTCTCTGCAGCTGGTGTCCATGTAGGTGTGTGCCCTTTGGTGGAAGGGCCCCCTATTAATTATTAGTATGTGTTGAGGGGGGCAAAATTATTCCTGCGTAGGGCTCCCAATGGGCTAGCACCACCCAACACAGATCTAGGTCTCAGTCTCCTGTGTTTGATCAATGAATGAAGCAAGCCTGCCCTCTGAAGGAAGAGACATCTTATAAAATGGCAGGCTCTGGATAAACAGGAAACAGAGGATTTGTGATGTATGATGATAACAGGGTATCCATTCCTAGAGAAGGGGGACCAGATCCGGGCCCGTCTACACCCTCTCTGTGGGACTCTGACAATGCTGAAGAGAACCCCAAGATGGAGGAGTCTCTGGGTGGTGCAAGGCTGGTACAGCTGTCACCCAGGTGTGGCCTCCCAAGGCAGGGAGTATATCAAAAGAGGGCCAAGAAGGATGTAGCCAAAGCATTTTTGTCAATCCTCAGCTCTGTCAATCCTTGGCAAAGCATATCCATCCTTGGGGGCCATTACCCACCAGGAGAAATTCTGGCAGCCTCCTCTAACTTGCACCAAAAGGTAAACAAGTGCCTTGGTTGTGTGGATGAGGCAAGCAAGCATAGCTCACATTCTTACACACGGATCCTCACATCTGGCAGAGCTTTGAACTGGGGAGACTATGATAGCTGGAAACTGCCTTTAGTCAGCCAGACACTTTATGACAATTTTGCAAGAGTGACATTATCCTTTTTTTCCCCCCTCCTTCTCTCTTCCACCCAGTCCGAAAGGACACCATTGTGCTTCAAGGATCTCTGATTGTTTAATATATTTTGCAGTGTTGAAAAGCTTTAGCGATGGCATTCAACCCCTTGGCAATTTATAACCCTATCTACTGCAATGAGTATTTTTCTAAATTAACCCACTGTATCATCTATAGCTTGTAGTTGTATTCTCATGGATTAATGTGGATTATTGTGATGAGAATTAACCATTCTCTTTTTAGCATGCCTATACATATGTGGACATCAGTTTAGCCAAGACTAAGATGAGACAGGATTCCTCAGAGACATTTTTCTAAACCTCTGCTATTGCTTTCCTATGGTATGAACTCAAATTTCTAACTCGTGTCCATTTTGCTCAATCCTTCTTGCAGAGGATGACTGCTTGCACTTGAAACATGCCAGGCATGGACACCATTGCAGTAAGAGGCATTCCCCTACAAATGACAAGTGTGGTTTCAGTAGCAAAGGCATTACTCTCCAGGGCTGGGTTGAGTGGTGGAGAGGGGCTGGCGATGATCCAGTTTTTAAAGGAACCCAGATATGCAGTGGTTTAAACTAATGGATTTTTAAAGGGTTTCTGATTTAATCATTTTAACTTCTGAGCACCAAATGAGAACCAGCAGAAAGAACACTATCTACCTCCATCTTTTATCAGTACACATATCATTAGCTTGGCATTGCAGCCTACTTTCTTAAATTGCTATCTGTCTTTTGTAAGAGTGTCGTACGATGACTCAGTACGATAAGGAGCTGCCCACACTGAAGTTGTGGTCATTTCAAACATTTCTGGCATCAGAACTTGGTGGAGCAAAAATGAAAGTAGGAAATGCTCATCTCAAAGACACCTGTCTCTGTCTGCATAAGGAAGTGACACTGCAATCTGCAGCCAAATGCTGACTACGCCCCTCACAAAAATCATCAGCAAGCAAGGCTGCAGTGGACGGGCATTAGTTTGCAGAACTTCACTAATTCACGCTGATGGCTAGGAGGCAGATTCCCAAAGGACACATGCTAGAATGAGGCTGAAATTCACCTCTGCAGAGGCTCAGTTCAAGGTCTATGTACCACTTAACTCCCAGTTACACCCTGAATGTGGAACTGCAGCCTCATGCTCTCCCTCTGCACTAGGGATGTTAGAGTGTAACCAGCTAACTGTTTAATAGATAAGCTGATGCTTATCAGTTAATTGTATCAGTTACACTCAGCAGGCTCCTGGGGAGGCAACTTCCCAGGAGCAGAGCTGGCAGGGGCCGACCATCAGGCTACCTGGTATTCTTCACTGCAGGCTCTGCAGTATAAAGCTTATTTAATCTTTTTACTGCAGAGCTCGCAGCAGATGTAACCACTGAGATTTTACCTACTTACCCAAATTTTAACATCCCTAATCTGCACACAGGCAAATTTCATCCCAAACAAACTAGTACAGGGCTTCAGAGGAGTGGTCAAGATAGTCTGTAATTGAAAAAACTAAAAAAAACAATGAATAGTCTTGCAGCACCTTAGAGACTAATAAAACATGTAGATGGCATCATGAGCTTTCGTGGGCACAGCCCACTTCTTCAGATGGAACATGAAACCAGCTACATATTTTGTTAGTCTCTAAGATGCTGCGAGACTATTTGTTGTTTTTTAAGTTTTTTTAGTACAGGGCTGTTTTAATAGTGTTTAATGATGTGTAGGATGCCCTGTATTCAGGCCCGTATGCAGGAATTTCTGGGGGTTTGGGTATAAATGTGGAACTCAAGGCTGCAAATGCACCCCCTTAATGATCTCCCAAGCAAGTGTGCTCCAGTTGGCTGGGGGAAAGGCAGGAGCAACATGCTGCCCAAGCATCCCTCCCCCAAGCTCCAGCCAGCCGGGGGAAGGCTGAGGCTGATTTCCCCACACCCAGGAGGATGGGGGAGGGAGGCTCGGGCAGCACGCTGGTCTTGCTTTCCCCCAGCCAGCAGGAGGGGGCAAGTGGGGCAATTAGCCCCGGCCCCCACGAGAATGTCTGAAGTCTGAGGTCTGAGACAGGGAGTATCAGGAAGGGGACCCCGAAATTGCTTTACCCCAAGCCCCCTGAATCCTCTGGGCAGCCCTGCCAGCCAGCCAGAGCACACTTACTTGGGGGAGAATGGGGGGTGCATTTGCCCCCTTTGCTTCTCCCCACATACAAGCCTGATATTGTAAGTCACTCCAGAGCTCAGTACAATGTTCTGAATCTGCTATTTAGTCTTTGCTGCTATTCAATCTTTGTGGGGATCAGCTGGCATTTGGCGGGGTGGGGGAGATTTAACATGTTTGTGGATTAGCAGAATGAGAATACTCAAGATTCTAATACAATGAAATGTTAATGGCTCTTGTCTACATGGAAATTGTAAAATGTCTTCCTTGTGTTAATGCTGTCCTCGTAAATGACTGCCACTGAAATAATTACTTAAGTCTCATTTATTTTCTGTTGCATGTGCAATTTATTTATTCTTTGCGGTTTATGCAGCTTGGACTGTGAAACAAAACTGGCTGATTCTCATTCTCAAGCTCTCCTGCACCAGCACAAGGCTGTTGTGTCGTGTGGTGTTTGAGTTATAAACACGCAAGGAGAAGCGGCGAGGAGTCCTGTGGCACCTTATAGACATGTTGGAGCATGAGCTTTCGTGGGCAAAGACCCACTTCGTCAGATGCAAGGAGAAGGTTTTCATTTTAAAAAACAGTATTCGATGATATTTAAGGAAAATTATTGTAAAAACATTGAAATTTTTTTAAATGTTTGCACAGTCCTTTGCAGGCATTAAGTCTAAATACCCCAAACAGCAAGGCAAATTATATCAAGAGAAGGTCTAGCAAAGGCAAGTGAATTCTAGCAGGCAAGTCCAGTAAATTCACTAGCCCATACACCACTTGCCCAAGAAGGGAAGTCTCTCAGCTAGGGAGTGCATGCTATTCACCAGAGCACTCTTATGTGTACTATAGTCAGTAACACACATTAGCAGAAAGCTACGTGGCCCTCCTGCTCATAGCAATAGCAAAGTGCACTCCATCATGCATCTCCCAGACCTGCCCTGCTGCATGCTGTCTTGACTGGCAGGATTCCCATACTGCAGGAAGTATTTGCCAGTGTTCTTGTTCTCACTTGCAGCAGAAAAGCAGGGCATATGCTCTCCTAATTTAACACCTCCACCATCACACCCTCATTTGTGGGGTTCCTCAAGGGTCAACACTCTCTCTAGACCTTTTCAACATCTATGTACAACCACCAGGTGAACTGGTCAGATGACATGGACTTAGATACAAGCAATATGCGGGTGACACATGGCTTTACTATTGTACATCCCATGCTGTCAGGACTGGACAAAACCAGCTCGCAGCTATAGCACAACAGATTGAAGATGATCCCACACAAGACAAAAAATAGTCTAGTTGCCCCTTAAAAACTAACAAAACATGTAGATGGTATCATGAGCTTTCGTGGGCACAGCCCACTTCTTCAGATGACATGATACCATCTACATGTATTTGTTAGTCTTTAAGGTGCTACTAAACAATTTGTTGTTTTTTAAGTTTTTCCTGTTACAGACAAACACAGCTACTCCTCTGAAGCTTCCAAACAAGACAGAACTTACATACGTGGCAGAACAAAGTGATTTCAGCCACAATGACATCAGCCACAATGATGTCTCCTTTGGTTAAAGCAGGGTTTCCCAACGTATGGGTCGGGACCCAAACAGGGGCGGCCCAAGCAAAATGCAGGACAATGTAGCACTTTAAAGACTAACAAGATTGAGCCTAGGCGAGCTAGGCAGCTGCCTAGGGCGCCGCTGGCCCAGGTGCCCGATGATGACATCACGGGGCCGCTCCTGGACCGCTCCTGGACCCAAATATGGGTCGCCATTACATTTCAAAAGGGTCACCAAGTGTCTCCCTAGGTGGCTCTGCCCCCCCTTGTCCCTCATTCTTGAATTGCCTTGGGTCACCAAGTCTTCCTGAATTGTCAAAATAGGTCTCCATCTGGAAAAGGTTGAGAACCACTGGGTTAAATAGTGATAGAGATGCAGCCGTGTTAGTCTGGTCTAGCTGAAACAAAAGACAGGACTATGCAGCACTTTAAAGACTAACAAGACGCTTTATTACCCCACGAAAGCTCATCACCTAATAAACCATCTTGTTAGTCTTTAAAGCGCTGCATAGTCCTGTCTTTTGTTCCACTGGGTTAAAGACACTTGTGATCAGTGTTCCCTCTGTTCAGTAACACAGCTTCACAGGTGATTAATCAGCCCCTGCAGTCAATCAGCTCCCTGCACAGAGGGAGGCTCTGACTGGGTGGGGCTAATTAATCACTAGCGAAGCCGTGCTGCTCCCCAGCTCAGAGGGAACACTGCTTGTGATGTTGCTCTCCATACTCTTTACGGAAATATGACATAACTGGAACATGCTTTATGCAAAACACTTCACGTGACATATCACAAAAGTTATAATCTGCTGAGTGTGTATATTCTCTTTGTGTGCATGTATTATTCCCGTATTTGGAATTAAAAATATGAAGTATAAATCTGTTTTATTAATCTAGACTTGGTGAGAGCCATTAAGGATGCTTCAGAAACTTCATGGCTCGTGGATAAGGACAATGATCTAGGAATGGGTTTGGTTTTCCTATAAACCAGCTAGTAGGAGGGTCTCAGAGTCCCCACAAGGACATGTGTTAAGGTCACCTGATGCTGGGACCCATCTTGGACATTTTACTTTTCCACTGAAGGTGAGAAAAGTTTGAACTGAACACAAAGGATTCCCACATTGGGCAAAATCTATATAAAGGTGGGAAACAAAACGATAGGGGCTGCAGTCAGACACCAGGACAGCCCTGCTTACCACCCACAATGACTGCTGGAAACATCTAAGACTAAATGGAGGAAGGATCAGACCCAAGCTGGGAAACTTTCCATCTTATGAGAAAGATGGTTAGAGCTACTGTTAGGGTAAGCATTGCATGTAATAAACTTCTTTGAGTATTAGGCTGCCTGACGTGTTTAGTTTTATTTAGTTTAGTAAGTTACTTTGATCTGTCTGCTCTCTTATGACCACTTAAATCCTACTTTATACTTAATAAAATCAGTTTTGTTTATTAATAGACCCAGTGTAAATTATTGTTGGGGGGGGGGGATAACAGCCGTGTGTCTCTCTTTTTTCATTGATAAAGGGGGTGGACATTTTATGTAAGATGGAGTCATTTGGGGTTCTGGTCCCACAGGGACTGTGAACCTAGGTGCTGTGATCAGTCCATTTGACTGAACCTTACCAGAACTGAACTGATCTTTTGTCTATGTTTCTCTGTTGGGCCCCGACTCTGGAGGAGATCAGAGGGTCTGGCTCAGCAGGACAGGGTGGTACATCAAATGACAGGCTCAAGAGGCTCTCTGTGACTGAACCTGTCATGATATTCACCAACAATTCACTGAGGAACGCTCCCGGATTCCTCGCTGGTGTTAAGTTCTCACATTGCAGCATCTACCATTTATAGCAGTCCTGACAGATGATGACTGTCCCTGAATTATACACACCTGTCTCATCTCCCAGCTAGATTGGGGCAATGCTGTCTACTTGGGCAAAATGTTACAGGCCCTCCGGAAACACCAGCTAGAACCTATGCGGCAGTGCATCTCCTCAGCAGCACAAGCGACAGAAGTACATCAGACCTGTCTTCCACTAACTACACTAGCTTCCTCCCGTGTCATATTATGTCAAAGGCAAAGCCTCGTTCTGAATCTTCAAGATGCTCAATAGCCTGGACCCAAAGTATCTAACACTCAGCGATGAGGTGCATGGTTGATGGTGCCATTCAACAGAACCTTCTACCCCACAGGTGGAGATTGTCTGTGGAGAAGTCAGAGCTTTTTCTGCCAGCCCATGTTTGGGGAATAAACTGCTCCACAAACAAGGAACCACCATAGAGCTTCACTACTTTCCATTCAACATGCAAAGCACCCTTCTTTGCCCCACCTTTGCTAATATTATCACATAGTATGGGGCACATATAATTTAACCCCCAACCCCCTCCCCCCCCAACACATACATACAATTTTTCCTCTCGTGAATTATGTTAGGGTCTAGTTTTATATATGCAGTCATCTTCTACTCTTTTTTAAATTCCAAGTGAGAGCTGCCTGATATTTTTAGCATTCTAGGGTGTGGACACTCTGTGTTTATGTAGTGCTTTTGATTATCAAAACACTTTATGACACTATCTTCTCAAAACATCTTCTCATCATCTCTGTTACTGTTAGCCTCCTCTGTTTACACTGGGGAAAACTGAACCAGTGACTGGGCCAAGGCCACAAAGGCAGTCAGTGATAAAGTTGGGAAGAGAATTTAGGAGTTCCTGGCTTCCAGATCTGTGTTCAGACCACTGGTTCACATGTTAATATTTTGGTCTGAGGTACAGCAATGCAATTCCAGAATTCCATGTACATTTCAGGGATAAACTTTGTGGATCAAATTCCTTTGTGTAAATACACTGGGGTTACAACAAAGATGCAGCAAGCTAGCCTAATACGCCTTGTTCCAACCAAAAAACAAAAGACATAAAGACCATGCCTGCAACACCCTAGCAGAACTAATCAACAGTTTGCCTGTAACAGTATCCAGACCAGTAAGGTTTTCTCGTATATAGTTGCACACCTACAGTATCTTCTTGCAGACTTCTGGAAGAAAACAAATATGACCGAAGACTAAGATAATAGCAGATAAACATTTAGTCTGTAATTTGTTGTCAAATAAATGGTGATGAAATAATAATAATGCACAAATTTCATTTACTATCCTGGCGTGTTACAAAGCAGTTTGTACTTCCCAGCAAAATTAGGAAGGGCAGCCTAGCCATGGAGTTTATGAAATGTGTGCATTCACTGGAGTAAGCAAGGTACATAAACAGTGCAGAAATACTGCTTCTGAATCCGAGCATGGCAGGGGTACATACTTTCTGCTGGAATGACACTCCCAGATTCTTGACTGGCCCCGACCAGGTTCACACTCAATAGGCCAGCCACTGAAATTAACAGGATTGTCAGCCACGTCGCTCTCCAGACAGGAGACGCCATTATTATCATCAAGAATTAAAGCTTCTTTCCCAGCCTGAAACAAGAAGAAATAGCTAAGATCAATTGTTTGCTTCCAGCACATTCAGCTTAACAAAGCAGATGTGAAATGACAGCTTTAGGTGGACGCGCGCGCGCACACACACACACACACACACACACACACCCCCACCCACCCCCCATTACAGCCAAGGGCCATGCACTTGCAAATGAAACTCACCCAAACTACTAATTTGGTAAATGCCTGATCTTCTTCTGTCTTTTGTGCAAGACCCTTGGAAATGGCAGTAGCAAGCAGCCAAGGGAAGCACTGCAGCCATACTGAGCATGCGTCCCCTGCATTCCCCCATTCACTGATTAGGGTCATTGCCATGGAGATTCACTATAGCAACATATAAGAACTAAGCAGCCAAGCAGAGGAGAAGATTTAAAGGGACAGCGACAGGACATATAGTAGCTGCTTTATTTATGAATTGCCTCTGTTCTGGGAGGATGATTTTATGAGCGCGCACACTGGCACGCTTCAGCAACTGCTGCAACCTCATAATACAACAAAGATTTTCATGAATGTTTGGATTGTTGCCTTGTTTCCAAAATGTGGCAATGCTGAAATGTGCCACTCCTGCTCCTTGCTTCGCTGTGAGACATTTACAGCAGGATTTCAGATGCAGCAGAATCAGGCACCTGGTGTCAAACTCTTCCTCTCTGTGGCAAAGATTCTGTTGTGTATCTACAGACAGGAGAGGCTCATCTTTGGTGTTTAACAAGCAACACTAGTTAGAAGCCCATCTCTATGAGCAACAGAAATGAATGTGAGCCAATCAGCTGGATCATGCTTTCCAACTGGTTTCCATGAAGCAGATATAGAATCACAGGAGGTCACATGGATGTCCCAAGCCAATACAAGATAAACACCCTGCATTTTTGGGGGGGAGGGATTCATCATGCAAAGCCAACTCTGAGTTTCTGTGGATGGACCTGGAGAAGGTGTACAGCCATCAAAAAGTGCTGCCTTGCAGTCAGGCAGTGGTTGGCAGGATGGCTCCCCCTGTGAAGTCCAGTCCAGTCCAGTCCAGTCCAGTCCAGTCTATTCCTTCAGTATCTCCATCCCAAGAGTTTCTCATCCTCCCCTTTAGTACAGGGGCTTTGAGGGCTGGAGCCTTGAATAATCATAGCTGGCCTCACCCACAGTGAAGGCTATTGTAGTATTGTCCTCTTGGAATTGTAGTAAGATGAGGGCCTGAAACAAAAGCCCATGTAGCACAGGCCTGGTTTGTGGCTTGAGGCCTAGCTAACAATGGACAACACTTGGCTAATATAAAGCAAAGCTAAGCTGTGAGCAAGAGGCAGGCCCCTGCTCACAGAACTTGGCATGAACAGGGCTGAGAGTGTAAGACATTAATTGGTAATAGGCCCAGGTGTAGAACAATAATAGGTACTGGTTGTAAGTGGAAAGCACAATTCAAAAGGATGGTAACACCAGCTCGTTAAAAACGATCTTGGTACACTCTTCCCACAGATACTGTCCCCGGTTCAGGAGAGGGTTTAAAATGACAACATGATGGCTAGAGATGTTCTAATCTAACCACAGGGTGATGGGTGGTATCTAAGTAGCTCCAGAGTGTGGTAACCTGACAATGTCAGGGGGTGGCAACCGGACACATCAGGAGTGATGTGCAGTTTGTTTGTACCTGTATATAAAGTGGATCTTGGTGGGACAGTCTTTGTCCACCCAAGGGGGCAGTGGGACCACTCACTGACTGATTGGACTCTGTGGTCCCGTAACATCCCTGGCGTAGGACTCTCTGTTGCCAGAACAGAGAGTCCCGGTTAAGGGAGGTACAACTTGTACCCGTCTCCTTCAGCTTCCCAGAGTAAATCACTTCAATCACGTCTCTGACCTACTTTGTGCATTTGCACAGGTCTTGCTCCATCCTCTGCTTCTACTTTGTGCATTTGCACAGGTCTTGCTGTCAGTACTCCTGGGCTGTAATTTCCCCTGAGAACAGCCATCCTGTACTGCTCTACTCCCCTTTTTACAGTCCTGCCTCCTAATTGTGCAGGCTTTGGGGCTGCCTGGGTCCAGAACTGTTCCTTAACACCTTGCTCTCCACTGTATGGGATTTGCACACCCCATCAGAGGGCCTAACCACCACAAGAACCCAGATCTGAACTCAGGAGTGCTTGAGATCCTTGCCCAAAGCTGACTGAATCCAAGCCCTAACAGGACAGAGGTAATGTTTGTTGGCAGCTGGAAATGATTTGAAAAGCAGGTATCCAGAGTGCAAGTGCCATTGGCTAAGGACTCAAACCCACAATTCATCACTTCAGTCTGCATTTGAAAAGTTCTTCCAGACCGATACCCTGGACTGTGAGTATGACGAAAGTATTCTGCCACCTCCAGCTGGCTAGGAGACTGCATCCACCTGGACTACAGCAACAAAATGTACTTGGGTTTGAAAGCCTCAGCACTGAGAAAATGGCAGTTGGGAAAGAATTCATCATCTGGACTGGCAGCCACACACCACTCGCTCCGCTGGCTTCCTCCAGAATTCCAAGCTCAGCATCTATCCTCACATTCGGGGTGTGTGTCACGTTATTGGATTTTAAGAGGAGCATCCAGATTACTGCTGCGCCCACAGGGGAGGGTTGCCCCAAAGTCTGTACAAAGGGGGCATGTGAGGTGTACAAATGAAAGCTTATGTTCTACTGATTCTATGTATGTTGCTCATGTACTTGTACAATGTGAGTATGGACTGTGTGTGGATACTGGCCTGGACTGCCAGTTGTAAAGAACAATTGTTCAGTCGATGACTATGCTAATTAGCAGGACCCCGAGGACAATGGCTCTCAGAGAGGCCAATACACACCTGAGGAATGTGTCTGGAAACCTGCAAACCAGCCAGGGCAAAATGGCTGCTAACATGTGAAACAGAGATAGGTCACTCAACCATGTGACCTGCTCCACTTGGGAGATACCAGGAATGGATATAAAGTGCCATGTGGTGGATTCCATCTTGTCTTCAATTCTGCTACTGATCCCAGATGCAGCCTTGCGAGGGACAGAAAGCCGTGAAGGATTGTTGGCCCATCCTGACATAGGATGTACACCAGACACTTTTAATCTAGCAGTTTATAACATCTCTGCTGAGAGCCTGCATCCAGAACTTGGTGATTGGTGCATGTAATGTATTTTCCTTAACAACCTTACTCTCAACCTATTCTTTCTTTTATTAATAAACCTTTAGATTTTAGATTCTAAAGGATTGGCCCAGCATGCTCTTGTGGGTAAGATCCAAAGTGTAAACTGACTGGGGATTTATGGCTGGTTCATTGGGACCAGGAGGACCCATTCAAGGTAGGTGAGATTGAGTTCTATAGTATAACCCCTCACCTATGTGTAGGCCCGGGGCTGATTGTGGCACAAGGGGAGCTGGGATGTCTGAGGGGTTTTGCTCGGTGTGACTGGTTTATGGCCTATTTAGGAAAGGTCTCCAGTCAGAGGCTGTAAGGAGCCCTGGTTTTGAGCAATTTGCCCTGAGTGGATGCCCTCAGTGGTGCCCAGACCCAGCCCGGTCTGTCACAGGGTGGGACAACTTAAAGACAGCCTCACACTCTACCTAGGTGCTTGCCTGCCAGTCACAGTCCTACTGCTTTGGCAAAATGGAAATGTGGCCTAGAACGATGAAGCTCGTCTGTGCAGAAAGAGAGGGCTTTTCAGAGCTGACCAAAGGCTGTGAGACTCATGCCCGTAGAAGCTACAACCCACACCACCTTTTGGTCCACATTCAGAGTGCATTCCTTAGCTCTTGCTTTAAAAATACCCACAGCATGTGAGCATATCAACTGAAATATCCTGCCCCCTCCAAACAACTCACATCCAATTTTCTCCCTGAGGAGGGGATCTGAAAGAGGTCTACATTTGACAGATTCTACTCACTTTGTGTCGTTTACATTCTGAAAAGTACTCAGAGTTGTGGGTGTGGTATAACAACCTGGAAAAAAACAGTAACATTTGGCAATTTATGCCCATTTTCACTCTGGTTATCTAGTCCATCCCACACTGCAGGAATATTCCCTGAGGGGCATTTGTGAGTGCTTTATCCAGTCTACCTTTAAATAACTCCAAATGGAAATTCTGGCACAAAATCAGAATGTCACATTTCCATTCTCCCTAGCATTCAGTTGTGTTCTTTGTGCACAGAACACTGGTGCGCTTGTACCATCCTTGGGGTCATACTGTTCCTTTCATTAATATACTAGGATGTAGCAGAGTTCACCAGAAAGTTATATAGAGATAGAGGGACTCATCAGTTTTGGAAGGGAAAAAGGTAATGTCCATTTTAATACTTTTTCCAGAGTTCAATGCAGACTGTTCTGAGCCAGTAAGACATTTGCCAGTTTTTCCTTTATAATTGCTTGATTGTAGCACTTTGAAGTAGGCAGGTGGAGATAGGTGCACAATAATAACTTGAGTTTCAAGAGCTAGAAACAGAAATGTAGCTATTGTGGTACTCACGTATGTTCTCCCACTAACGAAAGAAAAAATCTGTCTCTTGTTAGCATCTTGGGATGACCTTAGAGTTTTCTGCAGTCCAGAGGTAAGTGATTTAGCAGCTGTCAGAGATGAAGGTGGCAGCAAACAGCTGGAGAGCAAATAAGATATAGAAGATATGAAGGAAAGCATTGCAAGCTCTGTGAAAGAGCTGTACAGGGGTAAATCCATCCCCTGCATGCCACTGGGGAGTAATGTGGTAGAAAGGAGTGGAGTAACGCCTCCCCCAGGGTGCATCTACACTGCACCAGAGGTTGAAATAAGATACGCTATTGAGCTATTGTATATCTTATTTTGAAATAGCTTATTTTGTAATTTGGTGTAACTGTGCCAAATTTCAAAATAACCCGCTATACCAAAATGTGCCTTACTCCTCGTGGAATGAGGTTTACAGGGATGTCAGAATAGCAAACCCGTTATATTTTGAAATAATGGGCTTGCTGATAAGAGACAGGATACCTATTTCAGAATACCTCCATATCCAGAAATAGCGTTGCAGTGTAGATGTAGCCCCAGGCGGTTTAATGACTAGAATAGCCACAATGCCATCATTGTCCATAGGAGAGAAGGGCAAAGGGATCCATACAGTGGTGGATCTTCTGGACCCATCCCCAAGCACATTGCGTGCACTGCTACAGAAGGAACGCCTCCAGAGCTGGAACCTTGAATACAGAGTGCGCACCTGTCCTGTGAAGCTCCAACAGATCCTGCTGCCAACTTGTATAGCAGAACTGCTGCCAGGGGCCCTTCAACGTTGCCCAAGGTGGGACCAGGACAACAAAGCTGAATTCACTCCAGTTGCTTGAGCATT